AAATTATATAGCAATAGCAGAGCAGTAGTTTGGGTGAATGGGCAAGACTCAGAATACATAAACATACAAAGAAGCTTAATTTTAATTTAAGAGTATAAAAAAAGAAGGAATGAAAAAGCAGCTAGAGCAGTGGTTCAAATATCAATGGGTACCTCAGACCTGGGGCAATTTTAGGTCTCCAGGACTATCTACCCAGCCCTCAGAAGCCTCCTCAGACCACACCCCCTTCCAAGCAAGACCCCTCACCTATCCTGCTTTGTCATTCTTTCCGCCAATAAGCCTGTGAACATTTTTGCATATTGCCCAGTTAATGAGATAGGCCTATATGATCCTGGATTTTCTGGGTCTTTACCTCGTTTTAATATCACAACAATTCTATAATCTTTCCATGGCTTAGGCACTGTTAAACAGTCTTCGCATGTGGGGCAATAGTGTCTCAGATTATTTTTTTAAAATATAACTATTCTGGTAGTCCATCCATGCCTTTATGTGGTTTAAGTTTCTTAATTACTCTAGAAATATCCTCCAGGAATATCAGAAATACCTGATTACTTTCTTGCCCCAAAGCTACCGAAGGAAATGAAACTTTCAAGTCTTGTGTCTAAATAACAAAACACGTACTTTATAAAAGTAAATGTGATTATCTGGAAGTATTTACATGAATGGAGCATTTCCCACACTTGTCTGAACACAGAGGTGCAATTATTATTATTTTTAAAGTGTTTCTGTGTTGTAAGATGCTGTTTATTACATGATTCTTGCCTTAGACAATAGAAAAACTGCATCCTCAAGTGACTCTCCTTCAGAAGTGCCTGCTACGAGTTCTGCAAGAGTCCATTCTTTTACGAGTCCATTATGCCACTAACAGGGAATTAAACTTCACCTTTCCAGTTCTCTTTGGAAAGCTACACAGTGGAGGTGGGTGGGGAAAGAGAGGTTTCCATCTGAAGGGACGGCACTGTTGTCAGGATGCACGAGATCTTCGCTGTTGTGGAGGGGAGCATTGATTTGTTCCTAACGCCAGGAGCTGTTCTAATAAGGAGGTGCTGATATGTGAAATGAAACCACAGAGTGCAGGCACGTGGAGTGCAAACCTGTGAGCCGCATTAAATACAAACTCAACCTGCACTAATGTTAATTGTCATTCAGTTTATATCAATGTGAAGCTTATTAAACCATAAAGTGAGGCATCTAGCACCAAGTGTGGCACTGGAGACAATTAAGTGCAATAAGTGTTTCTCTTAATCCCTCCAAACCCTGGAGATGCACAAGTTACAGATGAACATCCTGTTTGCATTAAAGGCACCGCTTGCATGGCAGCTGAGCACACACACTGTGTCGAGAGATCCCAACTCAGATATAAAGCCAATTCTTCCCTGAAGCCTGAAATCCAAATTCCCTTCCTTTTGTGTGTGTGTGTTGGTGGCTTACTTCATAGTCACCCCCCCTTCCTTACTCACAAGTTTAATTTCCGAGACAGCTGTTCTTCTACAGCTACTACTATTAATTATCTGGATTAGTGCTGAATTTATCAGATTGAGATGCCTGACTCCCTGGGCATGTAAAAATTAGGGCCTGTGGGAGAATAAAGCATAAATAACTGATAGCTTGTGGAATGTTGAAGCTTACCTAGCCTTTCCATAGCACTATGAACAGGCATTGTAAATAAAAGCACAACAGAAGACTAAGATCCGACCGGGTCAATATAAACAGCAAAGAGCAATGACCAGTGTCTCTTTCCAGATTAGCGGTACTTCTTTGTGGTTCATGTGTGAGCGAGCCACTCCCACAAGGAATTAGTTGCAGAAACCGCAGGAGCATTTTCGAAATGTCATCTTCAAACTGTATATTCCATCATGAGTTAGAAGTCCATGCTTTACATTCAGAGGCGTCCTGAGACATTTTGTTGGCCGACATGACAGACAAAATTGTACTCCTCCCACACCCCCTGTACAGAAGCTGACTGGATTGACAGTTGAATTTTATGTTGATGCTGCTGATGGAGCAGCATCCTCTACTACACTAGCTTAAATGGTGCAGGGCAGGCCACAACACACACAAGTGTGTCCTCCAGAACCTTGATGACACTATGTGCTCCAGCATCATTCACTTCACTGTGCATAATGGTATAGCTGGCACTGCTTTCAAGCCCAAATTTGTTTCAACAGCTGCCAACCCAAAGACCATGCATGCCATATTCAAAACCCCAAGAGAGTGCTGATGCAGCTTTCTCTCTGCCCTCCCCCCACCCAGAAATCACATCACCCACCATCTTTGTCCCACCGCCATCACTTGCCTATAGAAAGCAGGAAGTTAATTTTGTTCTACAACAGGAAGAAGAGTATGATGTGTGATAGAGTATATATAGTGGAATAGGGAAGGATGCACGACACATGCGTATTTTCTTGCTGCTTCAGAGTGTCCACAGGGACTGGTGGGTTCTCTTGGCAGCCCCAACCGCAATATACCCCGTTCTCCAAACACTAAAATGTTCAGAGTGTCAACATTCACTATAGATTAGCAAAGCTGTGAGATCGGGTTACTAAGGAAGTTAGGCAGTATTGTGCCAATCAAAATAAGTGCATTTGGCAGCTTATTTGCCAAGTAGGTACAAAAACAGTTCACATTCACAAAAGGGGTTTTTTTTATAAAAAAAGAATTAAAAATTAAAAAATTAAAAGTACCATGCCTATTAAATCAATGTAGGGTATAAAGCAATATAAACAAGTAGTTTACTTTATGGAATATTTCTAAATGAACAAATTAGGGGAGGGAGAGCTACATCCCAGTGGTACAACACACCCTTTGCATGTTTAATGCCACACTAGTAGCTTACTTCTGTTAAAAGGCTTTCTGGTAGAAGAGGCCTGTGAAATACTTCTGCCTCTGAAAAGCTTATCTCAGGTTAGGACTTGTAGACCTTAGCAGCAGGCAACTCTCTTACACTACAGTTAGTAAACTATGGGGAGTGAGTAAAATTATCATTATGGAATGGGACGTCCCTATTTTCATTGGAAGGTATGGGATCGAGCCTCATGTTGGGCAAAAGATTACTGCATTGCAGGGGGTTAGACTAGATGACCCTCATGGTGCCTTCCACTTCTACAATTCTATGAATAGCACACAGCCTGATACTGGAGGGAGCTTGCTGAGAATCTCTTGTGGTACAGTCTTGGAGGTGGGTTCTTGCATTGAGAACAGGTAACAATTCAGCCAAATGATATGGAATGGAAGAAGAACAGGCAACACTTTTCAAAGTGATTATGGTTTCAGGTGTTGTTGTTTTTTTAAAATTAAAAACAGTCTCATAAATTGTTTAATTCTGAAGCTGAAATTTAGAAATACTAGTTATTCATATAATTATATTCTGATATAACATTTGTGCTTTAAGGGATGCACTGACAGCTAGTTTGTCTACTGGTTTTAAAGGAGATCAGTGATAGAGTGATAACAGAGCTCATGCTTCACTCACGTAGAGAGGGCCCAGGTTCAATCCCTATAAATATCTCCAGTTAAAAGGCTCAGGTAGCAGGTCATGTGAACATCCTCTACCTGAGAGCCTTGCTAGTCAGAGCAGATAATACAGGGCTAAACAGGCAAGTCATTCCTATATTGTAGCCACTTTTGTCACTACTGAGCAGTAATTGCCCATCAAGGGCTTAGTGATGAGTGTTCCAAGTGTTACTAAAAAGACTTAAAAGTAGGATCCATAGGATTCTGCTAGTGGTGGTATATAAGAACCTGTGTTAGGATCTCCAGGTAGCCCCACATTCTCAAATGAGTAGGGTTGTTTGTTACCAGGATCAATGTGTTCTCTCTGGTAGCCACTACTGGAACCCAGAGTATGGACAGCTTTCACCAGCCAAACTCCTTGCTAATATTTAGACTTCAATTATATACTTTTGTATATGTCCAAGTACGGATGTAATCTAATTCCTATCTTCTGTTGGATTATTTGTTTGGTTTGCTTCTGGCTGTTGCCTATTTTATACTATACTTGTCTTCTCCTTCTTCTTCAGTGATCACTTGTAGCCAAGTAAGGTTGTTTTCCATAAACAAGGTTTTAACAGTGAGTCCGTAAGTGACTGTGGAGGCCAATTCTGGATCCACACATCCTTCCACAGCGGGGACATAGGTTTCTGGGTGGGAATTGATCTCAGTGAGAGGGTTCGCCAAGCATGCCTTCCTCTTAGCACCTTTCTCCCTTTTGTCCTGAGTTTCAGCGTCTTCAAAGCCCATGACATCTTTGGTAAAGGCTGTTCTCCAATTGGAGCTCTCGCAGGCCACTGTTTCCCAGTTGTCAGTGTTTATACTAATTTTTTTTTTAAAAGATTTGCCCTGAGAGGGTCTTTAAGCCTCTTTTGTTGACCACCAACATTACACTTTCCATTTTTAAGTTCAGAATAGAATAGTTGCTTTGGAAGACGATAATCAGGCATCCGCACAACATGACCAGTCCAACAAAGTTGATGTTGAGGAATCATTGCTTTGACACTGAAGATCTTTGCCTCTTCCAGTACTATACTTGTATTGAATTGTTAACTATATTGCTGATTTTGTTATGCCCCCCCCTTATTTACCAAAAGCAGCATGGAATTGGGGGGATGAGACTAATTAACTAAACAAATAGCTATATAGAAAACACTTCCGGTAACAATGAGGATCGGGAACCCACATATCAATACTACGTGTTGTTTACTTGGAAATGAGCCTCTATTCTCTTTCATGACGGCTTATCATAGGACTACAAACTCAGAATAGTCACCATTTTATATTATCAGGGGGGAAAGGGCATAGCTCAACTAAAAGCATGGTGTAGTACTTATAGACTTGGACCCAGGATCAACCCCCAACAATGAAATTCAATGGATGATCTTGGGCTAGTCACTCACTCTCTCAGCCTCACCTACCTCACAGATTTGTTGTGGGGAGAATATGGGTGGGGAACAACACTATTTGCTCCACCTTGAGCTCCTTGGATAAAAGATGTGTTAAAAATATATTAAAATTATTTATTTATTATATGCATTTATTACCTGCCCTTCACCAAAGGTCCAAGGGCGGGTTATATAACAATAAAACAGTAACATACATTACATAATGAATTACTAAAGCAACAGTACAACCAATAAAATCATTAACAGGCGATGAGCTGTAATCAAATGTTCCCAAAAGCCTGAGTAAAATGGTGTGCCTTTGCATCTCTTCTAAATAACCCCTCAAATTGGGGCTAAAGAAAATAAAGAAAAGTACTTCTTCTGTTGCACACACCATTGTCCTATCACATCATTTATAGAGTTTCTGGCAGCCAATATTACCAGGTGTGATTTTCAGGCAAGTAGGAGCCTGCCATTTTCTATCTATCTAGAGTTAAACATTTGCCACTGGCAACCATGAATTTTCTTATTGAAACAGTCTTCCCAGGCTTCACTAGGTTCTGTTTTGAACACAAGGGCCATGTCTCAGAGTCCTGGAACATGTGAGGCCCTTTGAGGTTGTGCAGGATGCCTTTCCCTCACCACTGAGTAACAACAGATCACCTTCCCACATTCAGGAGGAAGGATGTTTTGGGACAGGATGCATTCCTCCCCATCAAGGGTGCAAAGGTAGGAGGAGCAGTTGCCATCTATTCACAATTATTTCTCTCCCTCTTGGTAGAGCAGGGATTGGGAGAGCTACTAGAACAGGGGTTCTCCAACAGTGGTCCAAGGTCCAAACTGTGGTCTGCAAGCTTCAATCAGGCAGTACATGGTGTGTCTGTGAAGAAAGGCAGGCGCAGTGTGTTAGTCATATTGATTTTTTATTGTAATTATTATTATTATTATTATTATTATTATTATTATTATTATTATTATTTACATTACCCAAACTGCATATGTATGTTGCACTTCATTGTGAAATACTACTGTTTGAGGCAGTTTCCAAACCAGCTTCACACCAACTGCAGCCCCCTGTTTTTCTCCAGATGTCACTGGGTTGCAGTTGCCATTGTCCCTCACCACTGGCCATGTCTTCTGAGGCTAATAGGAATCATAGAGTTGGAAGGGGCCCTGGGGATCATCAAGTCCAATTCCCTGCAATGCAGGAATATGCAGATGTCCCTTATGGGGACTGAACCTGCAACCTTGGTGTTATCAGCACCACGCTCTAGCCAACTGAGCTTTCCATCAGAGTCCAACATCATTTTGATGGGATGGGAAAACGTTGACCCTCCATAAGTTGGACGACAACCTGTATTTCACATAGGGTCACATAGGCTGGGGCATAATAATAATAATAATAATTTATTACGGCCATAGGCCCATACAGATAAAAACAAGACATAAATAACAGCGTGTGCACGTGGGAAAAAACAGCCGCTAAAACACTACTATAACAATAAAATACTATAAGATGGAATGGCATACTACGCCTTGATTAGCTTGTGGTGCTCCTTGGCAACGCTTTTGGGTAAGGACAGCGACCAGGAACCTAGCCACTTTCAGGGTCGTATGGGTATCCTTATCCTGCAAGATTTGGGCAAGGTGGAATTTTGGTGGGGTACCCTCTAGTTTCTGAATGATTGATCCCAACAAATTTGCCCGTGGCACCTTGAATAAGGGGCAAGTGAATATAATGTGCTGAAGCGACTCTGGCGTCTCCTTATCACATTCGCACATGGCGGAGGCTTGGCCCTTTGAGAATCTATGTCTCAGGACATTGGAGGGAAAAACGTTAAACCTCGCTTTGGTGAAGGCCAGCCTATGGGCAACAGTCGAAAGGGAGGAGAGGTATGATGGAACGCGGTAAGTTAAAGTGATACCAATGTTCTGGGGCGAACAAACACCTCCCCCCAGCATATAATTTCGCTGTAAATCGATGTCATCCAGTCTTTGGCGGATCAGTCTTTGAGCAGTGATTTGATCTAGTTTTAGGGAATCTAAGGGAGAGATTCCATAGCTCAGGAGTTTGGCATGAATTCTACTAGTCCAAAGGCTGGAAAATTCATCTCGCAGGCTGGGGCATATGTTGGGTGTCTAGCAACATATACAGAGGACCATAGGTTCCCTGACCCTGGCCTATTAAAGATATATGTTTAATATGCATAAAATGCAGTGTTTGGATGCACTGATGTAAAGAAGACTTATGAAAGGGTTTGCATTTGCAAAGAAAAGTTTGCATTGGACAGGAGGTTAAACTCTAGGTATATGCCACAAAGAGGGTGTTTAAGGCTGATTGGTGACTCATCCTGGAAACACAAGCTGAGAGCTCTCTCAACAGGACATAAAACCTGAGAACTCAGCATCTTCCTCAGTCCTTGGAGCCAGCAGCAGTAGAAATGAAGCTGGGCTATCCTAAAGAAGCAAGATGCTTGCACAGGATGTCTCTCTTGCATCAGAGAGAGTAAATCTACTGACATTTATTAAGGACTAAAAAGAAGGCGGCACTGCATTGTTTTAGAGCAATGTGCTATTTTGTATTTTGCAACTTTTATTTGCAACTATTTTAAGACTGTTCTGCAGTCTAAAGCTTCGAAACCCGTTCTCGGGGTGGAGAGCTAATTCATTTCCGCTCTGCACAAGGTCCGGATCAGGGATTCCGTTTGCAACAACAACTCTGAACATGGCCTAGATAAAGTGGGTCCCAAACCTCCCAAGTCAGCAAGCAGCGGTGGTGTTGACTGCTGGTGCTCCTCAGCAGGAGCCCATCCGGAGATGGCGCTTGCGGGTTGATGCATCCGGGCTCGCCAGCTCGCCCGCGTGCATGTGTATGCAATCCATTCCCGCTCCATGAAAATCAATGATACTCTTGCTGCGCGGCGGCGGCAGCGACAGAGGCTTCTCTTCCCCTCCAAAGGTCTAGTGAGATCTATGGGTTGCTTTTGCAGCCGGGATGCGCACGTGCCCGCACACATTTTCCCCTCCTTTGGCCACGCCCCTCAGAATCCCTCCTAGCTAAAAAGAACCTGTGCGGCTCTTTCTCCCTTCGCCCAATCTCTACTGCAGGGCAAGAGAAGGAGGGAAAGAAGAACGGAACCGGGTGAAGAAAAGGGGAGGGGAGAAAAAGGAGAAGGTGGGGGGAGGCGGAGCTAACACTGAAGCGGCTCGGATAGTTGGCAGACGCCGTGTTCTTCCTCGCCGTTCTTTTAATCTGCCTCTCCCTCACCCTCGCCGCCCCACCGGCAGCCGAGGAGTAGATTTGGGGAGGAGGAGGGTGGGGTTGGCTCTCGGCGACCGCCAACACCAGCAGCGCCGCCGCCGCCGCCACAGCGCTCCCAAATTCGCCTCCGTCCGGCATTCCGGCTCCTCAGCAGCCCTCGAGGCTTCGCGCCCCGCAGCGGGAAAGCAGGACTCTCCGGGCGCGAGCGTAAAAATATAATAATAAAGCGCGGAAGGGAGAGAGAGAGAGAGAAGAGCCGCCTCAGCGCGCCGCTACCACCAGCAGCAAGACCGGCGGCAGCGGCTTGTCTTGCTTGCTTCCTTCGCCAGCCTGGGAGCTCTGCCCGCAGCCGCTCGGAGGAGCCTCTTGGCAGCTTCCCGCGTCAAGGTAAAGCTCGGGTTGGGTTGCGCGTCCCGGAGTGCAGCGCCGTGTTTGTTGTGAGGGGAAGGAGGAGGGGGCGCGCGGGCGGGTGTGGGGGAAAGAGCGGGAAAAGGCGCCTTTCTCTCTCGCTTCACAGTGGTGGGTCGCTGCTGCCTTTGAAAGGGAAGAGCAGGTGCTTCCACCCAAAAAAAGGAGGGGGTTCGTTTGGGTATGTGGAGAAAGAGAAACAATTCAAGGCAGCGTCTGCACCACCATCAATCCCACCCAGGCTGTCCTTTCCCCTCTCGCGCACAGCCTCTGCCTCCAGCTCTTTTTCTCTTAGCTCGGGTATGGATTCAGTCTTATTCTCGCGGGAGGTGGGTGGGTGGGCTCCGGGCTTCTCTTGGCATGCACAATTTTGGCCCTCGGATTTGGGCGACACTCTCCCCCACACTCCCCGAGTCAACAAGTTTTATTGGTGGCGCGAGGACCCGGGCGCTTCTAGTTCTCCTTCGAGCTGTGGAGGCTGGTGTTTTGCCAAACTGTCTGCTGGGTTTTGCAGTTTCGCCTGCAGCACTTCGGCTGCGTGGTCGGTTTGCTTTGAAGCCCCGTCGTGCAGAGCGTAGCGGCCCGTGATTTGCCTCCGCTCAAAAACAAACAAACAAAAAAACTTCCCGCGCGCTTACTTCAGAGTAATTGCTTTGCACGTCTGTCCGCGCCCTGCTCTGGGGTAAGACAGCGGATGCTGCAAGACCTGGGCTCTGTGAAGCTGGCTGTAAAATTAGCTCCGCTGAACTCGGTGGGACTTGCTCAGAGTGGTAGAGCTTTGCATGCAGACGGTCCCAGGTTCAAACCCTGGCATCTCCAGGTAGAGCAGGGAGGGAGGGAAAGAGACCTCTGCCTGAAACCTTGGGCAAGCAGCTGCCAGCCCGTGTTTTCACTACTGAGGTAGATGGACCGGTGTATGCTCTGATTCTGAGCAAATATGCAGGACTGGAGTGTGGAAGAAGGTGGAGTGGCTGAGATTGCCACCCAAACAGAGTTTGCATAAGGAGCGAGAGTGCTCTGGTAGGGAAGGGCTGCTGCCAAATAGATTTTCCTACTGAAATGGAGTGGGGAGGGGAAAACTATGGTATGCAAAATTACGACTCCCCCCCTCCTCCCATGAAAAGAAGTAGTGATGGTGCGACAGGGTACAACAAACTGATGGGCATCAGACTCGATCCTTCTTCCTATGTGAGTCTATCTTCCGCACAATTCCCACTCAGGGTTTACCCAGAGGAGTACAGATACGGAGATTAACTTTGCTAGATAGCAGTTATCTTTTCCAGTCACCTTTGCAGAGAGACGGCAAACAGGCGATATGTATCAGCCCCTCGTTCTTGTCTTTTAACAAATGGAATGAGCAAAAAGGAGAGAATCTGGGCAGTGGTGTGGTGGATCCTGGGATAAACAGACGTTTGGATGATAAAAGCCTGGTCAGGTTTTGCCTGAGCTCCTATTAGTACTCCCGTGTTGGTCCAGAGATGTTCAATTATGTCTTGCAGGAATGGGAAGCTGGGTGTTACAAGCAGTAAGTTAACAGCTCTTCCACTGCACACCCTCCTCCAGTGTCGAATACAAGGAACTAGCTTCCTTTTATTTACTATGCAAATTAAAAGATTGGGTCTTACTGTATGTAGGTTGAAACATGCCTTGGAAAAGGATAAGAAAAGTGATACAGGTGTGTGTGTGTGTGTGTGTGGTTTGTGCATGTACACACATGTAGAGTACAACTATTGGGTTAATCTTGTGTAAATTCTTGGGACAACTTTTACTGGATGCAAACAAGTGTTCCTTTTTCCAGTTTTCAAATTCTGTCTTCCCAAGGGTGGTTGTTAGCTTTCTGTGTTGCGAGCAACATAATGCAGCATGTTGTGTCACTTACCCAGACAGAAATGACTTGCTCACTAAACTACAAATGAAATGATGCTGCTTGCATAACAAGTGAGGCTAGTTAGCATTTTACATACTGATTTTCATTTAAGGTAAATTAAAGCAGGATAGCTGTCACTGTGTTTATGGTTATTTGCGCTCTGTAGTGAAGGATATACTAAAATCCTAGAGATCTATCATTCAAAAATCATGAAAATATATTTTATTTATATTTATTCTCCCCTCCCCCCACCCACCCAAATAAGCTACTTTTTGAAATGTGTTTAAAATGATCTATATAAATCCAGACATCATTTTTGGTTTTTGTGTTTTTTAAGGTTGTTATAGATTTTGTGTTAAAACTTCTGTACTACCTTAATGAAATTATTACTTTTAGAATAATAAATGATGCTGTTGAAAATGCTAGGTTGAGTGTGAATCAAAAACTACAAACATTTCATTGCTTGGGACCCTGAACACACTAAATTAGAAATAATTACCGCTTCTTCTCCAGGGACCAACTTTTGAGCAGGGGTGAAGGTGGACATACCGTACATTTTTAAGTGGGTTGGAATGGAAGTAGTTTGGAAACAGCTCTGCTGCATTTTGAGGCATTTGTTTCCATCTCACTCTTTATAGGCTGAACTGCGCAGTTTAGAATCTCTGCCTGTGCCTGTGTTAATTTATGGGCAATCATTGCTTGAAGTTGTGTATTTCCATAGTATCTCTCTTGCCTTGTGGATGCAAGTTACAAAACCATTTCTGTTTGACAGTAGTTGAATGCCACCATCTGGATTCATTCCTAATATTAGGGGATCACATGATCAACACTACTGCATGTTTTTCTTTAAAAAAAAACAACAACCCAGCAGCTGCTGTGGTTTATCTGAGGGTACTTCTATAACTGAAATAGGCTGTAAGCCACAGCTGGTAAGGAAAGAATAAGTTGACACACACCCAGTCAACAAGGTTTGACATGAGTGTTATAACGCTGAAGTGATAATTATGACTGCTGTAGACAAACAGTTCGTTGTAAGCAAGTTCCATTGAAATCAGTGGTACTTTGCCACACATGTATAGTGTCTAAAATTGGAATGCAATGGTAGTTACTGCCACTTGTGGAAATAAGCAAGACTGTTTCTGTGCCTCCTCAAACCACAAGTGCTGTTTCCCTTACCAGTGGTTGGAATTGCGTCGTGTGCAAACTGAAAATGTGAAATCGCAAGGCATATTTATAAGCTGTTAAAACACTTTAGATGATGAAATAGTTGTCAGTTGCATGGTACACACAGGCCAAGTACAGTGTGCTGTCAATTGTGTGCTGTCAGATTTCTGCATGATGCATCTTTCACTTCTGGTATGAATAGCTTTACTGGGTCATTGATCTGGTTTCTGACTATAACCATATTCAGATGCTTTTCTGTAGGTGTTAACATCACAGATTAGAAAACTTGGTTCCATTTTGCAGTTAAAGTTGTCAGGAATATCTAAACCTGCTATTTATTGGCATAGATACCCTTAGTATCCTAATAGCTGTTCATTCCCCCCCACCACCATGTTTTCCCATAATCTCATATACCATATTTTTCGCTCTATAAGACGCACCAGACCATAAGACGCACCTAGTTTTTGGAGGAGGAAAACAAGGAAAAAAATATTCTGAATCTCAGAAGCCAGAACTACAAGAGGGATTGCTGTGCAGTGAAAGCAGTGATCCCTCTTGCTGTTCTGGTTTCTGGGATAGCTGCGCAGCCTGCATTCACTCCATAAGACGCACACACATTTCCCCTTACTTTTTGGGAGGAAAAAAGTGAGTCTTATAGAGCAAAAAATATGGTATATTGCACTGCAGGAAATGTATGTCTCCTTATGTATAACCCTTTGCCTTCTCATTGTAAGCTTTCAAGCTCGGCCATACAGCTTGTCACGATATTCCTAAATATAACCTCTTATATCTTCTACAGAACTACTTGGGAACATAAAAAGAGCTCTAGTACATCAGACCAAAGATCCATCTAGTTCAACATCCTTCTTCCATAGAGCCCTACCAGAAGCCTCCGGGAATCCCTTTCTCTTTAATAGACAATGATTTTGTTCTCTTGCAGCATGTGGCGTCTGTCTGAGTGTATGCTAATATTCTACCTGTACTCTAAGCATTTTATAGGATAATGGAAGACCTGATGCTTAGCCAATTAAAAGACTCTCATTGACTTTGCCATGGCCTAAGCACTGAATTCATAGGAAGCTATCCAGTATAACATTTGCAATGTGGACAAAATTACTTTCTAGCTTGACTGATGTTGGGAAATAATGCATTGCTGGTAGCTTAAAATAGTTGGAAGAAGTGCTTGCTAGTGCTCTTTAACCTTTTCAGGCCTGTGGGCAAACTATATACTGAGCAAGGCTCTTTGGGCCTTGGGCAGGAATACTGAGCAGTGTTCCCCTCCCCCATCTTGTAGAAGCACTATGTCTGCTTCTTGATAAGATATCAGTCTTTTAAATTTTATTTCTGGAAGACAGAAAGAATGAGGTCGTCTAAGTTAAATTAAAGATAAGCACAGAAGTGTAGCAAAATCAGTTCATTCTAAAGGATGGATTAATCTATGATTTCAAGTTCAATTTTTAAAATTCAGATTTCAATTCAGAATTATTACTTTTTAGTAATGTGAGCTTATCAGCATTTTAGTGTTATCTCTGGGTTTCATCCCAAAATAATATGACTGCAGTACACAAGCTTTTTCTGCAGGAAATTGTTAGCCAGGATCCTTAATATCAATTGGATATAAATGAATTGAGGACTTTACAATAGTCCCTCTAATTTCCTCACTTCTCATGTGCTGCATTAGCCTCAATTTCACTGTGTTCATTATCCTGTGGGCTTAAACTGTTCTATGATGGTTAAGGATGATGCCACTACTAAATGCAGCTAGAGCTTGATTCTTATATGGGCCCAATAATTTATATCTGTTTCCAGTGAGTATAAACACATTATATTGTACAGGATCTGAGAAATGGAAGGATAAAGGTACATTAGTGCTAGAGGTGCACACCCTTCTGCATAATACAATAATTACTTCTACTGTTTAGTAGTCATATCACACTTCTAATATGCA